TGTCCACCTGGGAGTGCATACAAGCTATACAAACCTCCTTCGAGTTTCAGAGCATTCACTATCAGCTGATATAACCGCTGCGACGGCTGAACCAAATGCTTCAACTTCTCGCCGTTTGACAAACCGATGGCCAGATTGCGGTGTCCGTCGTATAGGAGTTGACTGCAAACACACCAGAGATTAGTGTCTTGGAGTGAGCCATCACTGTGTCAACCATTACCTGATGATGAGTTTATACATGAACTCCCGGTCATAACCCATACAAGTGGTGTTGTCCTCCAAGTGAGCTCTCATGGGATTCACATCCGCCGAGTCGTCCGACACCTGCGTGTAGTCCTTGCCGTCGATGCTCTCATTCGACTCCTCCTTAAGACTGGCTTCCGATCGGTTCGATCCCTCCTTAGCGCTCACCTCTTCCTTCGCGTTCAGATCCAATGGATTCGTGTCTTCCGACGGATGGCTCTCTTCGTCGCCATTCGCCGTCAGATCCGATCGATCCGTGTCTTCAGTGACGTTCATTTCACGCGTTATATTGACTTTAAATTCACTAATTTCTAAGATTTGTGTCTTTATTATAAGAAAATATCAATAAAAATATGTCAATATGTGGTCACAAATGAGAAAAATATCTCCAATTATCTCCAATTCGTGTCTCAATTGGTTTCGCTATCTTTTGCACACAATTTGTTTCACTAATCGATTCGTTACTATGTTTTCGACTTAAGATCACTTCCGATGCAACACTTAATATGACAATCAGTTTAGCGTTTATTTGTTTAATAAAAATATAATTTCACTTAAAATATAGTATTTTTTATTTAAACGATTACTTAAAATAGATTTGTATTTAATGTATAAACAGAAACAGTAATTGAATGCCAATTAATACCCATTTGTGTGGTGAAGGCTTTCACTGAGAGTGACATTCATTTTACACCAGTACTGGTCTAATGTACTAAAGGCCCGCACTGTGCGCACACTCACCACTCACTTTCAGGTCCTTTTCACACCGAACCACACACTCTGGCGAATCCAATACGAATCACTGCACACTTCACACAACTGTACCGTTATATCGATTGGCGAAAGCATTGCAACATTGCATACATTGAAAGCATTGCATACATTGCATACATCCACACATACAGGTATTCACTGAGCCTCTGATGCAAAGTTTCAAACCATTCGAACGCATCTATTGGTCAATACAACGACGAGTAATGCAATACATCTCACATTCAAACTCACATCCAGTCATCGATGGCTCTCCCAATCAGTCGCCTATTAGTCAGTCCCGGGACTCCCGGGCCTACAGTCAGGGCTAACGTGAGTGTGTGTCACGACTGGAGCCACTCATAGAGGGTTAGACACAGACAGTCACTCATTAGCACTGCATCGACAGTGCATTCAATAGCAGACTATAACTCACTCAACAGTGAGTGTGTGTTTGGCGTCAATCCATTGGACACTGAGTTGTGAACGAATTGTATGCATTGAACGTGTCATACAAACCAACAGACAATCAATGAATCAAACATTTCATCAAACATTCAAAACAAACATATTTTTGACAAAAACTTTAATCATATGTTAAGAGCATTACTGTATTCACACGAGTCTTACACTGAGTATTATTATAGCACTTAGAGTACAGTAGGGGAGAGCCATCGATGACTGGATGTGAGTTTGAATGTGAGATGTATTGCATTACTCGTCGTTGTATTGACCAATAGATGCGTTCGAATGGTTTGA